ACAAAAACAAAAATAACAACAACAACAGCGATGATGACAAAAATAACAACAGAAACAACGATGACAAGAATAGCGACAACAGCAATTGGTAAAGTTTCGTCTCTGTTTTTCAGCCAGACAGTTTCTATGGTGGGCCCACAAGAGGAGGTCGCTCGACCGGAATGTCCAGCTTCAAAACGAGCACTCTCAACTTCAGCAACACATCCTCCCGGAACCAAGTGAGTTTTGCTTTATGTATAGTTACGAGTTTTTCTGGGTTTTTTTATGGTAGAGGGTTTTACGGCGCTCGCAACTGCATAAGGTCATATATGAGCGCGCGGGACACACCTATTACTTTTTGTTGGTAGGAAATTTTGAATTTTGCCCGGGTGGCGGCCGAAGCCTACTCTTATCGATTTCAGACCACCAGAAGATCTTTAACGTGCGCAACTTACACACGGGCCCTCCGAGATTTTTCGCCCTTTCCGAAAAAGGTGTAGATCTGTCCCACCAGAAGATCAGGGGTGTGGCAGAAAGACAGCTGTAAGAAGGAGTCAAGGAGTAGCAGTAGAAATGCTGCAGAAAGAGTCAGGAGCCCAGAGGAGGGGGCAAAGGAGGTGAGGGGGTGGGGGCAGAAAGAGGAGACGAAAGCAGACGACAGAATATTGCTAGAGAGCAGGAAAGGAGGTGAAAGGAGACAATTTTAAAGAAAAATTTTTTTCGATCGCTACCCGGATTCGAACCCGGGACCTTTGAATGAGAGGTCAACACCTTAACATCTAGGCCACGAGAGCCCCCGTTTTTCTGTTTATATTCGACACAATTTATGATACACCGAAAATACCGCTCACAGTGCTAAGAAGAGAGGAAAGAATGAGTATTGTTGTCGTTGTTGTTGTTGCTACTGCAGGTGTTGATGCTGTTGATGCTGTTGACACTGCTGTTGATGCTGTTGTCACTGCTGTTGCTGCTGCCGTTTTCCTGCTTTTGTTAGTACCATTTTCGTCGATGTCCGGCTCTATGCGGATGTCCACCAAATTATGTCAAATATTTTTTGTCCGTCTCAAATACTGCTATCAACAACCGTAATAATAATAATAATAATAATAATAATAACAATAATGATAATAATAATAATAATAATAATAATAATAATAATAATAATAATAATGATAATAATAATAATAATAATAATAATAATAATAATAATAATAATAATAATAATATTATTGCAACGATGATGATGATGATAATGATTATTATTGTTGTTGTTGTTATTGATCTTATTATGATTGTTATTATGTAAAAAGAGCAATGTACGCACATCTCTGGAAGATAATAGACAAGAAATTACATTTTCTTCACCCCTAAAAATATTTGCCATAATTTGGCGCATACAGTTTGGGTGGGACATAGACATACTGCTTCTTTCTGGTGTTACTCCTCGTGAATTTCGGCATGACCAGACTGGCTTTATAAACAGACTTTATTTATATTTTTTAACATGCCACATCAGCACTAATCAAATTCAAACATATTAGGAGAAACAGGAACATCGCCCAATGCTCAAAATCAGGCTTATGCGCTCCTAACTGACATCATTATTTCTTTATGCATGCGAGTCCTGGACCCTGATAGCAGGCACTGAGAGAAGAATCAGAGATGTAGAGATGAGATGCTTCCGTAAACTGAACGTCTCATACAAGGACCATGCCACCAATGAAGACGTGAATGGAGGCATAAGAAATGTAATCGGGCCCTACAACGAAGTTTTATCATTGGTCAACAACGCAAGTTGAAATGGTATAGCCATGTCACCCGTTTTTCCGGCCTTGCAAGAAAAGCATTCCACAAGGCACCACGCTGGGAAGACGAAGGAGAAGCAGGCAGAAGAAGAGATGGGAGGATAACACCCAAGAATAGACAGCCATGGAACTGCGGGACACACTGTAAAAAGTAGGGAGCCGAGAGGAGTGGAGGAGATTTGTTGTCATCTGTCAGAGGAGACCCCCTGGATGTCAAATCTACGGGAGCTGAAGAAGAATATATTCTTTCTTTACACTTTTATATTCTATCTTCTGCGTTTACTAGATACGGTTTATGCTGCCTCAAAGCCTATGTTTTGGAACGTGTTTCTAAAAAAGATGAAAACCAATATGATTATGGTGATCACAACTGGTTAATAATTCACCAATCTCACAGTTATTTTCATGGTTTTGTTTTCACCATAGCTATTATAGCTATACCATGTCAATTTTTTTTCCTGTTACAGTTCAGAGGAAGTCCTGATTTCTACTTCCATGACAATCGTAATTTTCCGGGGGGTGACCCGAACAAAGGAGCTCTAAAGGTATGTTTTGTTTTGAAGAATAGATACAGCTGTCGTTTATATTCAATACCAGAGGAGGCATTTATCTTGCAAACCAGATTGATTCAAGAAACATGTACTAAACAGTCTACCCCCCCCCTTCCCCTTTCAACATTCATACAATACCTGACTCTGCATTATTGTCCCTTTCCTTGTTGAAATCTGACCGATAATATTATATCAGCATATTTTCCATGATATAAGTGGGCCACATTCTCGTTTTATTGGCTTTAAACTTTCGGCTTTTTCGAATTAAAAAAAAATTGAAGCTTAACGCCTTACTGGACATAATGTGGGCAATGGCGAGGTATATCAGCTACACACTAAGTCAGGACATTAGACTGCTAGGGAATTTTCCAAGATAAAAAAAGGAAAATATGTATGCAGTTGACATCCGCTTACTGATCAGGTTCGAAACCTACTGCGGTACAGAGCTCTGCATACCACCGATTTCATTAGTCACAGAAACAGTAGTCCCTTTTACCTAATGATACATTGTATACAACTTCTTAGTTCTTTGTCCACTGTCATTGATGCACGCCTCGTTTCTAACTCCACACAGAGAACTACCATATTTTGTGACTTATTCTTCATCGTTGTCTCTTACCATAATTGAAGAAAGCCTGTTGTTCGTATACTGCCCGAATAGACACATGATGGTTACGACACTGAGATGCATGTTTGTGAGTGTGCGCATTTGTAATTGTGAGTGTGTGTGTATTTATGTGTATATATGTGTGTGTATGCGTGTGTGTTATCGTGTGCGTTCGCGTGTGTGCATGTGTCTTTGTGGCTCTGTGTGTATATGCATGGCGATGGCTGAGAAAGAGAGAGAGAGAGAGAGAGAGAGAGAGAGAGAGAGAGAGAGAGAGAGAGCTCTTACACGCGCGCACACACACACACA